AAAAAAAAGGAGGAGGATTGGCAATAGATGTTAGCTCAGAGCCCGTCTTCCTCAACAAAAAAAAGAGGAGGATTAGCATGGATGTTAGCTCAGGGCTGATCTTCCTCACAAAAAAAATAAATAATAATAAAATAAAAAGGCTATCAAATGAAGGATGAGCTTGCGGAGTTTGAAGCTAGACTCAGAGTTGGTGCAATGTGAAACAGTCTTTCATCCTGAGGTGGAGCCCATCACTCTGCACCAGAGACAAGGATTCAAAGCTAGGGGCCTACACACCCCATATTTGAACAATCGCAACTAGATTCTTTAAACATGTCTTGGCTCCTAAGAGTTTTTTTTTTTTTAATTTTTTAATTTAACCCGCTGAGGAAGAATCTAAATCCATATCACAAGAATAAACAGATCCAACAGCTTAATCTTTAGTTACTAAACTGTCTAAGCCTTTTACATATGAACTAGCCATAGCCCAAACAGACAGACAAGTTACAGGTATAAGTAGAGAGGAGTTACCGAGAAACTGTTGGAACTTGCACTCTGCCTGGTTGGGACCCCAGCTCTGCTCCTCACTAGCCATCTGATGTCGAGCAAGTTACGTCACCTCTCTGTGGCTCAGACTCTTCACCTCTAGTCAGGGATAAGGAGATCTAGACCTCCCAGGACTGCTGTGCGGATTTAACGAGTTAACGCAAAGCACTCAAGCAGACTCAGAGGGAGTGTGCTATAAGCACTTCTAAAATTAAATAACACAGAAGACACATACACAAAGTTTTCCCAACCAAGGGTCATCAGATCATAAAATAAGCCCTTCAAGGCCAAAAGGAAGCCTGTCCCCTTTCCAAATGCTGTTTATCTTCAAGTAAAACTGAATTGAATATATACTGTATTGGGAGACCCAATTCTAACTCTGAGGCAGACAAAACAATATAGAAAGGCTGAGCTCCCTGACACACCAGGAGAGGAATCAAGATCAAAATCAGGGCCTTCTGTGGTCAAGATGACATCACACAGCTTAAGGCTCCAGCGAGCAAGAGGAAGGATCCCAAACTCAAAAAGCTAAGCTGCCTTTAAATGCCACCTGGGTGGGGTGTGCTCTGGAGCTCTGAAATGCACAGAGACAGGTACGACCAACACACCACACAGTGCGAACACCTCCCTCTAGGGCCCTGCATAAAGGGGGGTGGAAGGCTGCCACCAAATCCAACCAGCTTATCCCCAAAGGGACACTGCTCTCCGGTCAGCTGTGTTCACTGGCAAAGAATATTCTGGTAAGAACCTCTTCTCACCCCAAGAAATTCCACAAAGCTAGTCTCAGCACAGAAAACCAGGCGGTGGGAGGGACAGCAACCACTGCTGCCTCCCCCACATCCCAGACTTCCACCATGAAGAACTCCCATGGTGGAGTAGCAAAATCGAGGACCCAAGTTCTAGGTTTGTAACTTAGCTGAAATCATGGGTAACCTTGGGTAAGCCACACTCTGAGCCATAACTTACTCTTCTATAAAATGAGGGTGATAACACAGACCCATCCCTTGAGGGCTGCTGCTGCACTCATAAGGCAGACCAGGCGTGGCTACTGCCTAAGGTGGCAGGAGGGGATTTTTGGGTCTGGGCACCTATCTGTGTGTGCTCATCAGGCTGACTGTGCCATGTGCTCTACCCACATTGGCCTTGGACTGTGGGCAGACAGGGAGCTGGCCCACAAGAGACAAGCAGTCACCAATGCTCTTGTGCAGCGAGACACACAGCAAAATGCACCTTGTCCTAACCAGCATGGAATCACACTTACAGCTGAAGCTCCAGGTGGCTGGCTGGCTGGCTTTAATGAAGATCAGAGGAAGACTGTTTCTACTGTTCCATGCAGCAGGGTGGAGAAAGGGCAAGAAGGGAGGGAGAAGCATTCAGTGGGTGACCCCCGAGGGTGGCCACTTAATCTGTCCTCCCACTCTCTCCTGCAGCCCCTTAGAGCCTCTCACTCAGCCAGAGGCAAGTGAGGCAGGCAGATGAACACAAGGTCGGGCTGCCAGCTGCCTGAAGTCTAGTCCTCACGCTTAACTGATCCAGCAGGACTCCCTAAACACTCCGTCTCTGAATTTCACTAACGTGCACCTTCAACGTTAACTTTGTACATATGTCACCACAAACATACTGTGAAATGCTGAAACAAGATTTCTTTGCATTGATACGGAAGCTCTGCTTACTTTCTGCACTTTGGAACTGCCTAAAGGTATATTTTACACACCATTAACTTCATTAAGATGAACATCAGGATGTAGGTTACCTCTGGACCAGAGGGGAGAAGATAACCATCAGGAGGGCCACTCAGAGGGCTTCTAAGAACCTAGCAACACCCTGTTTACAGCAGGGTGGTGGGCACACACGAGTTCGCTTTATGTTCATTCTCTAAATTCCCCATATACTCCCCTTAGAAACATAAGTTTAAATACTACTGCTTAAAATTAACAAAATGCCATTTTTCTCTACTTCTAAAAATAAGTAACATTCATTAAGTACTTACTGTTTGTCAGGCACTCTTCTGAGCATTTTACACGTATTGTCACAGTCCTCAAAAGAACTCTTGGGGGTGAGGACCACTGGCATCCCTTTTTACAGACAGGGACAGTGAGGGACAGAGCAGGTCCCCGTGCACAGCTACATGCCCAGCAGTGAAGCCACAAACTCGGTGTTCTCAATCCTTCCCAGTCAAGAGAGGGCGCGTCTGACGCTGATACTCCATGTTAGCCAGGGAATGAGGAAGCAGGGCCCTAACCTGGCAGAGCCTTCCTGGGAAGCATTGAGTCATCACTACCACATCACACCGTAGGTCACGCCCTTCTGACCTGGCACACTCCTCTACACAGAATCTAGCCGCAACAGTCAGAAATTCAGACTAAGATTTATATCACAAAAACATTAGTGGGCCGGCCCGGCGGTGTAGCGGTTCAATTCGCGTGCTCCGCTGCGGGAGCCCAGGGTTCGCAGGTTCGGATCTTCGGCGCACACCGACACACCGCTTGTCAAGCCATGCTGTGGCAGCGTCCCATATAAAGTAGAAGAAGATGGGCATGGATGTTAGCCCAGGGCCAGTCTTCCTCAGCAAAAAGAGGAGGATTGGGCCGGCCCTGTGGCTTGGTGGTTGAGTGCGCGCGCTGCGATGCTGGTGGCCCGGGTTCGGATCCCGGGTGCGCATCGAGGCACCACTTCTCCGTCCATCCTGAGGCCGAGTCCCACATGCAGCAACTAGAAGCATGTACAGCTATGACATACAGCTGTCTGCTGGGGCTTTGGGGGGAAAAAATAAAATAAATAAAATCTTAAAAAAAAAAAAAAAGTTTAAAAAGAGGAGGATTGGCATGGGATGTTAGCTCAGGGCTAATCTTCCTCACAAAAAAAGAAAAAAGAAAACATTAAGAAATTACTCCCAACAACTGGAAAAATGTCCACCAACAGGACAATGGCTACTCACGGTTCACCCAGAGAGAGGAGCACTAGGAAGCCACTGGAAGTGGGGCATTTAAAGAAATGCTCATGCAAAATGTTAAGTGAAAACAGCAGGAGACAAAACTGTCAGGTGTACAACAGGGGTCTCAATTTGGTTAAAAAAAGACAGAAATGAAACAACATGACCTCTGGGTGAAGGAAAGACAGATCTTCAACTTGGTTCCCCGTAATTGTTAACCTTGATAGGTGCAAAGGACAAAGTACCACCCAGGCAAGGTCAGCAAAACAGCAGAGAGCTCCTGGTGGGCAGGGCCTCTAAGGGATCTTTCAAGGGGGGTGGGGGCGCTAAGTCCTCAATGACCCTGGTGATACCACCCGGGGCCTACTGACATTTTGAACTTCCTTTGAGGTTCATCAGTTCATTCATTCAGAAAGGAATCACAGTGTATAAGGAGTACTTGCTAATGAAAAGATGAATGAACTAGTATCTTTTAAATACAGATCCTTGTGTGTGGGGCAGAAATCATTAACTACCAGCGAGGGCCCAGAGTGGAAATCCTATTTCCTCTTTTCAAGCCCATCATCCTGGAACTGTATCAGAAAAACAGCAACACTTCAAAGATAATTAATCCAATCCATATACTTAAGATTCCGTTTCACAGACAAATAACCTTGGATAAAATCTAGAATGAATACATATTAAAAGCTTTACTCAGGGGGCCGGCCCAGTGGTGCAAGTGGTTAAG